TCTTCATGGCGTTGCGAAACGAAAAATAGTAGTCCCAATTATGGTGCGTTTAGCTCACACTTTCATCTGTCGCCCCTCCATTTCTATTAGAATTCATGCTTGTATTTGTATAATTTATTACACTCAATAAATACTTTATGTAATTTTTGTAATATAGTATTGAATATTATAAATATAAATATATAATATAGTATTTTTTATAATTTTTTGTCTATTATAATTTGTAGTTTTGCTACAATTTATTTCAATAATATAACTTTTATAACAGTCTCATACAATGTTTAATAATTCTTTGTTCAATTACAATTTACAGTTCTAGTACAATTTATTATAATAACATGATACAATAATTTTACAATATAATAATGTAATATTTTTTATAATAGTCTTTTATATTCATGATATTCAAGACTTCTTTAGACATATAATTATATAATATTTTCTTTATAAAATATCTTTATATAATTTCTAATGCGGTATCTTTTATGATTTTTTTGTTCAAGTACAATTGGAAATTAATATTTGCTGTTTCTGAATGACATCAATCTTTTTATATTCATAAAAACATTCGAGTTATCGAGCAAATAAATTAAACTGATTCTCAAAATACTTCAGAAAGGAAAGAAAAGGAAGAATAATTTTTTAAATTGATAATCATTAAGTTGAATTAAACTATCAAGGATCAAGCCAATAATTTATCATAATATTATAAATGATTCAATTTCTTTAAATTTTATGCAATTCTGAAATCTGAGTGGAATATAATGGAAAAAATACTACATTGAGTCAACACTAAAAAATATCATAAATTTACTTAAAATAATTGCAAATTATTACTTAACATCAACCAAGTTCCTAACGGTTCAAGAAATTGGGCAGGATTATAGTGGCGTGTTTCTTCTTTCTTTCGTCATTCACCTTTCCCCTCAAATCGTTAGGGGAATTAGAATAAAAAAGTTGATCATTCCAGCTGTTCTTTCGCGTGATATTTTTTTGTAGAGATTCTTTGTCAGTGGGTAGAAATTGGATGGAGAAATTGTTTCGATCCCCCTTTCCACGGGTTCGAGCAGATCTCGTTTCAATCAATCGGTAGCCCAGATTCTCGTTCATTTCACACCCCCGTGCTCGCATCATCCCCCCCGTGCGCAATCGTGTCCTTTGCCTCTGTGGAACATCGTGAAAGAGTTCTGGCACAGTTCCACGTCGACCATCAAGACCGTCAGAAGTCCTTGAGAACTCTTCAAACATATTCGACATCAAAAACAAAAAAAAAAAAAAGTTAGATAACGGATAAAGGAAAATAATTTCCATCGTCGAGTGAACCCCAGTGCTGCAAACGAGAATTTCGATACCTTGAAATCGAGAGTTTCGAGAACCATCTTTGGTATCGAGGAAGAAAGAAAGAAAAATTAGTAAGAGAAAACAAAGATTAAAACGTTACGAGTGCTGCGCGCAGAGTTCCGTGCTTAACTTGAAAACTCTGGAGCTTGAACTTAGTCCCCTCTAGAAGAGGAACCGACAATCACTCCGGTGATTACTGCACGAACTTTCGAAGTTTCCGCGACACAGTGACCGCGATTTATTTCATGTCATGACGGACGTGAATAGTAACAAAGTGACCGGCGAGTCTTCGAGGAAGTCGTTCGAGCACGCGAAGAAGGAGCTACGCTCGATAGTGACGAGGATCGAGGAAACAGCCCTTTCCAGCAGGTCTGTGAAATTGTTTCGCGCTCAATGCCTTCTTAGACCCGGTGGTTCGAAGCTCCGCAGGAAACACCTGTGGATCCTGCTGATTTTCGCGTGGATTCTCAGCCAATTCCTTTGGAATTACATGCACACCGTTCGCTACGACAAGGTATGCCACGAAATCGATCCTTTTTATCTATATCTAAAAAAGGAGAAAAGAAAGAAAAAAATTGATCGAACCGTTCTTTGGTAAAAGAAGTCTTTATGCTTCTTTTTGTTATTCCTAGTTACACTGTTGCTATTTGTGAATTTTCTGTTGTCACGTCTAATTTTCTTTTAATTTGTTTCCTATTTTTTTTAATAAATAGATCCTAAAATTAATTAACCAATTAACAGATCTTATTTAGAATTAATTTTTCTTTGAAACAGATTCATCCTTGTTGCTTATATCTTATCCTTTCTTTGAATATTATTATTTAATATAGTAATTTTTATTTTATTTTTTTTTTTTTAATAAATTGATTTCTAGAGAATTTTTAGTTTTCTTTTTCATTTTTCTTCTATTATCGCTTACAGTCATTAATTTTCCCCGCTTTCCCTGCTAAACATTTCTCGATCGATCGATCTTTGGACATTTTCTAAAAAATTTATTTTGGAGAACAATCTCTTAGTAAAACATTGATCTTTATCAATTATCATTAATCTTTATTTTTATCAAAGGATAAAAGAATATAAGTCAAAATTGTTTTACAAAAAAACTCTTTATTATACAATAGTTAAATTTAAACCGTACATAAGATCGAATATTAGATTTTGATTGAACATCGTCCTTTTTTGCAAAGTACACACTATTCTTTTTTTTTTTGAAAATGATGGCCTGCGTTAAAATTTGACGCTCATCGAAGATTTAATAAATAAAATATATGAGCGTCAAGGGGTTACATTAAATCACACTCTGAAATCTAATTTACTGCTTTACTAATTTCTCGTTTAATAAATGATTCCTAGAACTGTCGATCGATTCTTATTAAAAGATCACAAAAATCGAGCACTGAGGAATCAAAGTGTATCACAATTGTCAGAATTATGCGACAGTGATCGAAGGAGGATATTTAACCATCTGCTGGCAATATTGTTTTTCATTAACGCGGCGCGTCTTTCCTCCCTCCTCACCCGATTTTTTAATTGTTTTAGGCAATCAAAAAAAAAAAAAAAAAAAAAAAATCTGAAAAATTTCCGAAGCCAAAACTTTCGCAGTGCAAATAAAAATTTGAGAAGTGAAATAAAATGAAATGAAATGTATTCTTCTGGAACTCTCTCGAGAACGATCTAATAACGCCGGCCAGAGGGTTGATTATCTTTTCCCCTTTTTAATAAATGGCTTTTAGAGCTAGTAGGCCGATTTTTCTTAAGGATAGAATGTTTTTTCAAGTGCCTGGCTGAGCTGCCGTCGTTCGCGCAGAAAATATTCCGGCCAGCCGAGGATTGTTCGATGTGCCGGGACGTTCAACAGGTTGACAGGATATCCAGCGTGGATCCTGCCATTTTCGAGGAACGGTACTGGCTCGTTCAATTCACCTAATCGCTCGAATCCGCATTTGCGGATCTTTCTTGCCCCATTTACCGTTTTCTTTTCTTTTTTTTTTTTTTTTTTTTTTTTTTTT